AATTTCCTTTAAAAGTCTGTTAGTGCCCCGTGCCATAATGTGCCTTGCATTGAATCCCAGTCTAAATAAACTTAAAAGCTAATGAAGAAAATAGTTCCCCACAAGTTCAGAAATCTATTTGCATTCAAAGTGTGCAAAGATAATGAGAGTAAACATTCCATCATTTATGACAGTCATTATGAATGACAACAAACATTTAACAGATGAGTATAGTACAATGCATGATTCACATATGACTATTCAAATGAATAAATAAACTGTAAATATGATATCAGGTATAGAGAGCAACAGTTATAGAGCAATGTGGTGTCTTTTTGTAGGCACTAACTCTGCCATGGCTGGTTGGGCAAAGCCTGTGGGGAAATTAACAGGGTTTTTGACTGATATTATCTCATAGAACACAATTTATAAGATCTCCTAAGCCTGTGTTAACCTCAGACTTCATTTTCTGCGTTGATCCCAAAACCCCATTCTTTCCCCATTAATTTCCGCCATAGCAATGGTTGAACAAGCCAGAGGTTACTCATTTCCGTTTTTTAGGACTACAAGCCGGCGAGCTCTATACTGTAAACTATGAGGACAGATGTTTGCATAAACATGCAAACAAATACCACCATTTACATTTGAGTCATTTAGCCGACGCTCTTATCCAGAGCGAGTTACAGTTAGTGCATTCATCTTAAGATAGCTAGGTGGGAAAATCACATATCCCAGTCATAGTAAGTACATTTTTTCTCAATAATGTAGCTATCTGCAAAGTCAGTGCTATTGTGAATGTTAAAAAAATGGGGGTGGTGAGGGGGGGGTGCTGTGGGATTATACTAAAATACTATTTGACAGGTAGGGTTTCAGTCATATTTGGAAGATGGGCAGGGACTCTGCTGTCCTAGAAGAGCTTTGACCATGGAGTGTCTTTAAAATCATTGAGTTCGCAAACTGAGTTTATCCTCTGGAAAGGCCACATTTTGAAAGAGAGCAATACAGTTTAAGACGTACGTGTATCTGTGTTAATTGAAAAGTAGATAAAGTATGGGGATGATACAGTCCAAGATTATATTGATTGCACCACCACATGCTTTGCGCAATGCAATGTGAATTGTAGCACATAACATAATTATGGCATTAAAGGGATAGTTCACTTTGTTGAAGTTGTAGCTTTTTTTCGACGTACCTAAGGTGTTGTCATTTCATCCTCACCGTTTTACATTTGTTGGTTATTTAGCTAGTTTTATTTTTTGTTTTGTTTTATTTAACGTCCAGAATCTCCTGGCAAAGATGTAGCAGTGCAAAAAATGATTGATCCCTTTAACACACCAATACTACTGTAAAGGCAGGTTGTGTGTAGGTATGGATCAGAAAGAAGTCTCTATCTTGGTGTGCTCCCCAAGACATGTGCTGCTTCCCAGACTCTCCCTGCTGTCACCAGCCTTAGGGACGTACCCCAGGGGATCTGAACGGATAATATACCTGTAAAATAGGATGGAGAACATTTCAAATATACATTCCTCTCACTCTGAGTGGTTTGATATTTTCAAACATTTGTTTATACACAAAATAATACGGATATGGGAGTAATATCGAGTAGGAGACATTTTATGATCTATTAAAGCTCTGACACACCAGTTGGATTGTCAAACGTTTGCCTGCCGACAGTTCTTAGCACCTCTGAACAGAGTGTCGGCAGTCAAACTCTTTTGTGTTCACACTGCAAAGACCTTGGAAGTCATCAGCCACTCAGCCTTGTTAAAATATTCTAAACCAGAAGGTGGCAGTAGCGTTGTTTAGCTATGCATATCCGTGCGTATTGCTTATTGTCTAGATACCAAGCTACCTGTGCTAATGTTGCTATTTTGTAGAAAGCCCTTATTGATACTAACCAGATGGCCACAGCTAGATAACTACCTAGCAAGATGACGAATAAACAATTTAATTCACTCTCCATAATCCCATACTGCCAGTGCCAGCCCATAGCCAAATGTTTAGCTAGCTAACGTTAACATATTCGCTAGCTAGCACAACATTGCAACAGGACACTACATTAACTCAGCATCTAACACCGGCAGCTGTTTCATGGAAAGTAGCTTATCCATTGTGATTGAATTATAATGTCAATACTAGCTACAGTGGTTAGCTAGCTTGGAGGAAGTATTTAGTGTTGTGCTACCATCCCATAGCCTACATTGCATACGAAGTGTGACTGGCTCATCCATGGATGTACGGAGAAAATGCCCTTTTTAGGTTTGTTGCTACCGGATCGGCACGCAGCAGGTACCACTTTTGTTATAGCAAGAGAAGGAACGGCCTTCTACTGTGATAAGTACCTATCGGCAGTGAGATTCTCTGTGTTTCATGCTTTAGTCTGCACATCATCAACTGTTTGGGTGTGTCTTTAGCCCATACTTAACTACTTATTGCCATACTTACACTATGTCATTCAGTTCCAGTTTGGTGTCAGGAGGTGGGTTGATCAACACATATGTGTGGGAGTGAGTGCTCTGGATTTTGCTCATGTCATCTAGAATAGGAAAAAACAGCAATCATAGGTCCTAGTGGAAACATACTTGCGAACTCTTGAAAAAGTTTAAATTAAACAAAATCAGCATCAGCCAATTAGAATCGTCAATGTAGTTGAACATGATAGAATGCTACATGTTAGCTTTTCCCATGAACTAGCCTGACACACTTAGCCCTATGCTAATACGACCAGCTGGTAGCCTAGTCAACAAAGGTAAACCTTGAATTTTGAAGTTTTAAATATCCCTCTGTTGGCCAAGTTTACCTATTGTAAGACATGCCATTGTTTGGTGGATATAAAGTCTAAGATCTTTGATTGACTGATGTGGAATTTGTTACAGGAAATAATCGTGGCCAGCTGACATTGTGTTAGCATAGGGCTAAGTGTGCCAGGTAATTTTGTTATACACTGAACAAAAATATAAAACGCAACATGCAACACTTTCAAAGAATTTACTGAGCTACCGTTAATATAAGGAAATCAGTCAATTGAAAAAAAATAATACATCTATGGATTTCACATGACTGGGAATACAGATATGCATCTGTTGGTCACAGATACCTTAAAAAATAAGTAGGGGCGTGGATCAGAAAACCAGTCAGTATCTGGTGTGACCACCATTTGCCTCATGCAGCTCGACAATGGGCCTCAGGATCTCATCACGGTATCTCTGTGCATTCAAATTGCCATCGATAAAATGCAATTGTGTTTGTTGTCCGTATCTTATGCCTGCCCATACCTTAACCCCACCGCCACCATGGGGCACTCTGTTCACAACGTTGACATAAGCAATCCGCTCGCCAACACGACGCCATACACGCTGTCTGCCATCTGCCCGGTACAGTTGAAACCGGGATTCATCTGTGAAGAGAACACTTCTCCAGCCTGCCAGTGGCCATCGAAAGTGTGCATTTGCCCACTGAAGTCGGTTACGAAACCAAACTGCAGTCAAGTCAAGACCCTGGTGAGAATGACGAGCATGCAGATGAGCTTCCCTGAGATGGTTTCTGACAGTTTTTGCTGAAATTCTTCGGTTGTGCAAACCCACAGTTTCATCAGCTGTCCAGGTGGCTGGTCTCAGACAATCCCGCAGGTGAAGAAGGCAGATGTGAAGGTCCTGGGCTGGCGTGGTTACAGATGGTCTGCGGTTGTGAGGCCAGTTTGACGAACTGCCAAATTCTCTAAAACAACGTTGAAGGCAACTTGTGGTAGAGAAATGAACATTAAATTATCTGGCAGCAGCTTTAGTGGACATTCCTGCAGTCAGCATGCCAATTGCACGCTCCCTCAAAACTTGAGACATCTATGGCATTGTGTTGTGTGACAAAACTGCACATTTTAGAGTGGCCTTTTTTTGTCCCTAGCACAAGTGGCACCTGTGTAACGATCATGCTGTTTAATCAGTTTATTGATATGCCACACCTGTCAGGCGGATGAATTATTTTGGCAAAGGAGAAATGCTCACTAACAGGGATGTAAACAAATTTGTGCACAACATTTGAGAGAAATAAGCTTTTTGTGCGCATGGAACATTTCTGGTATCTTTTATTTCAGCTCATGAAACATGGGACCAGCACTTTACATGTTGCATTTATATTTTTGTTCTGTGTATTTCGCGTTTTTATGTGCAATTATTGGGAGACCATTCAGCCTGAAGAACACCACGGGACATTACTCGGGCTGGTTCAGAGCAGGGACTGGCGACTGAGGGGCTGCAGGGAGGTGACTTGACTCAGCGAGGATTTGCGAAGCAGTGGAAAGATTTGCAAGTCGGAACCAGGCTACTTGCAAGTCGTCGCAACCAACGTGCTTTGGACAGTGGTGGACGCTGGCTGACTAGTTCTGCGAGCTATTCCCAAGGAGAGCAACCACTGCCATCTGGAGGACTATTTAATTATTTTGACCATGTGATATTTACTACAATTCAGCTTTTAGTTGTGAATGTGTAAAATGTTTAATGTTCTGAAGAGGACCACAATGGAAATATTTAAAACTTTTTTGTGTTATGCTCAACACATTTTTTGTTTGCATTTTTGGCTGCATTGTGTTTTTAAATTGTCAAATAAAATCAATCAATCTCATGGGAAAAGCTAAAATGTAGCGTTTTATTACATTCAACTACGTCGTCGATTCTAATTGGCTGATGCGGATTTTGAGTTCACAAGTACGGACCCCCAGTGATTTAGGCTACGGCCAGCCAGAGATTTTACAGATTGACGGATGATGGACAATGGAGATGGACGGATGATGGACAATGGAGTTGATTGTTCTTTAAAACCTCACAATGTCTGCCTTTCTGCAAATGCAACTTGTCCGAAAATAGCTAACTAGAGTTGAACTTTTCACAGACAAAAACGGACAATGAGACATATAAATACGTATTCAATTATATGCATTCATCATTGTCCGTTTGTTGACTGACAATCATCTCTGTCGTCCATCCATCCATCCACCCATCCATCCATTAATCAACAAAGCCTGAGTCTCATGTTTCAAACACATAACAAGTTTTGCTTTCTATTCCAGGAAACTCAACTAGCAATCCCCAAAAGACCTCCCTCCCCATGTGTGGTCTCTCACCGTAAGCCGTGGCACAGAGTCCCAGGCTCTTCATCCGGTTGTTGACCAGCTCAGCCAGCTCCTGTCTCTCAGAGCGTCTGGCCCTCAGACCCAGGCCCTCCTGGCCCCCCTTCTGAGCCCCCCTCTGGTTCCCCCGTGTGCCTCTCCGGCTCAGCTTTCGCACCCACTGCATGCTCTTCCTCCTCAGCAGGGGGGCCTTCCCGTCCAATGGGTCGCTGGAGGTGGAGCTGCGGTGGAGCCCTCTGGTCACAGGGGGAAGCTCTATGTCGGTCTGCTCCTTGGCGTCGTCAAAGTCCTCCACACATACCGAGAGCTGTGACTGAGTACAATCAAAACACAAAGCCATATACAGTGGGGAAAAAAAGCATTTAGTCAGCCACCAATTGTGCAAGTTCTCCCACTTAAAAAGATGAGAGAGGCCTGTGATTTTCATCATAGGTACACGTCAACTATGACAGACAAAATGAGGAAAAAAAATCCAGAAAATCACATTGTAGGATTTTTTATGAATTTATTTGCAAATTATGGTGGAAAATAAGTATTTGGTCAATAACAAAAGTTTCTCAATACTTTGTTATATACCCTTTGTTGGCAATGACACAGGTCAAACGTTTTCTGTAAGTCTTCACAAGGTTTTCACACACTGTTGCTGGTATTTTGGCCCATTCCTCCATGCAGATCTCCTCTAGAGCAGTGATGTTTTGGGGCTGTCGCTGGGCAACACGGACTTTCAACTCCCTCCAAAGATTTTCTATGGGTTGAGATCTGGAGACTGGCTAGGCCACTCCAGGACCTTGAAATGCTTCTTACGAAGCCACTCCTTCGTTGCCCAGGTGGTGTGTTTGGGATCATTGTCATGCTGAAAGACCCAGCCACGTTTCATCTTCAATGCCCTTGCTGATGGAAGGAGGTTTTCACTCAAAATCTCACGATACATGGCCCCATTCATTCTTTCCTTTACACGGATCAGTCGTCCTGGTCCCTTTGCAGAAAAACAGCCCCAAAGCATGATGTTTCCACCCCCATGCTTCACAGTAGGTATGGTGTTCTTTGGATGCAACTCAGCATTCTTTGTCTTCCAAACACGACGAGTTGAGTTTTTACCAAAAAGTTCTATTTTGGTTTCATCTGACCATATGACATTCTCCCAATCCTCTTCTGGATCATCCAAATGCACTCTAGCAAACTTCAGACGGGCCTGGACATGTACTGGCTTAAGCAGGGGGACATGTCTTGCTCTGCAGGATTTGAGTCCCTGGCGGCGTAGTGTGTTACTGATGGTAGGCTTTGTTACTTTGGTCCCAGCTCTCTGCAGGTCATTCACTAGGTCCCCCCGTGTGGTTCTGGGATTTTTGCTCACCGTTCTTGTGATCATTTTGACCCCACGGGGTGAGATCTTGCGTGGAGCCCCAGATCGAGGGAGATTATCAGTGGTCTTGTATGTCTTCCATTTCCTAATAATTGCTCCCACAGTTGATTTCTTCAAACCAAGCTGCTTACCTATTGCAGATGCAGTCTTCCCAGCCTGGTGCAGGTCTACAATTTTGTTTCTGGTGTCCTTTGACAGCTCTTTGGTCTTGGCCATAGTGGAGTTTGGAGTGTGACTGTTTGAGGTTGTGGACAGGTGTCATTTATACTGATAACAAGTTCAAACAGGTGCCATTAATACAGGTATCGAGTGGAGGACAGAGGAGCCTCTTAAAGAAAAAGTTACAGGTCTGTGAGAGCCAGAAATCTTGCTTGTTTGTAGGTGACCAAATACTTATTTTCCACCATAATTTGCAAATAAATTCATTAAAAATACTACAATGTGATTTTCTGGAATTTTTTTCCGCAATTTGTCTGTCATAGTTGACGTGTACCTATGATGAAAATTACAGGCCTCTCTCATATTTTTAAGTGGGAGAACTTGCACAATTGGTGGCTGACTAAATACTTTTTTTCCCCACTGTAAATGAATGAAGTCCATGGTATGTCTATGGTGAAACAGGGTCAAATGAAATGACCAGAACAAAGCGAAGTAAAACATATACAGAAAAATGGAGTTAAATTGATGCCCAAAAAGTTTCACAAATGATCAAGAGCGAGGCCAGACAATTTATAAGTGGGTTTGACGATGATTTCTTACTGATATTACCACTAGTAGCAAATCTCACCACGTTTGTCAAGCACAATTTAACCAAGACATATTACAGGGGAGGAAATCCAACTTCATCTGCACTAAAATGAGATTTAGGGCTCTATTTTCGGCTGACGCTAAGGAGGTGTAAGAGTCAAATGCACATCAGTTTGCAATTTCGTCATGTAAGAACTGGCACGCTAGCATTTTCCACCCCTTATACCAGGTTAGCCAATTTACCTGTGTAACATCAGCTCACTTGCGCTGAGGTGGGAGGGGTGGTAATATTTGAGGCGTGTCCTTAAAATCAAGCGCAAAAAGGACAATTTCATGCAGTGCTAAAGGAAAATGTTAAGACCCACTACAAGCAGGTCTTAACTGTAACACAGTTAGTAATGGCATGGATTTCTAGAGCGAAAACGCAGCCTATCCAGCCGGGATGCACAGTGCCCATGGAACGAGAGATTATTATTGGTTTCCCCCCATAAAAACCAAGAATAGCCTACCCTCCCCTTAATCAAGGCTGGTTTAGCAGCTTCACATATCCTGGCCATGCATTAGCCAAGTAGCCTGAGAGTGCCTTGAAATAAATAAAGGTTTTTGCTTTTTTGTTGTTGTTGCTTTTTCATGATTCATAATTCACATACTTAATTTTGCTTGGCCAAGTAGGCTATTCAGGCGCTCTCCTCCAAATTATTCAGTCCTCCTATAATACCATAACAATGGCAGATTTTTTTAGAATGTGCCTCGCCCATAGGCAATGATACAATTGACAGGAGCCTAGTACTTTGTATAGATGCCAGACATAATTGACAGATGAGTCAAAAGTACAGTAGAACTTTTTGGATGACATGGGTCCCATTATGCCTGGCGAAAACCAAACACTGCATTCCACGGTAAGACCCTTATACCAACGGTCAAGCATGGTGGTGGTAGTGTGATGGTTTGGGTATGCTTTGTCTTCACGCAAAACATTCGCACATCTATACAAAATACTAGGCTTCTGTCAATTGTATCATTGCCTATGGGCGAGGCACATTCTAAAAAATAAATTGGGGATGCTTTGCTGCCTCAGGACCTGGACGACTTGCCTTAATAGAAGGAACCATGAATTCTGGTCTGTATCAGACAATTCTACAGGAGAATGTCAGGCCATCTGTCTGTGAGCTGAAGCTGATGCGCAGCTGGGTCATGCAGCAAGACAATGAGCCAACACACACAATCAAGTCTACATGAAAATGGCTAAAAAGCAACACATTTGTAGATTTGGAATGGCCTAGTTAAAGTCCAGACCTAATCCCAATTGAGATGTTGAGACAGGACTTGAAGTGAGCAGTTCATGCTTGAAAACCCACAAATGCCGCTGAGTTAAATAGTTCTGTATGGAAGAGTGGTCCAAAATTCCTCCACAGCGAGGTCAGACTGATCAACAACTACAGGAAGCGTTTGGTTGAAGTCATTGCAGCTAAAGGTGACTCAACCAGTTATTGAGTGTAAGGGGGCAATTACTTTTTCACACAGGGGCATTGGGTGTTGCATAACTTTGTTTATGAAATAAATGAAATAAGTATGTAATTGTTGTGCTATTTGTTCACTCAGGTTCACGTTATCTAATATTAGGTTTTGGTTAAAGATCTGAACATTCAGTATCAAAAATATTCAAAAGTAGAGAAAATTAGAAAGGGGGCAAATACTTTTTCACAGCACTGTATGGGCAGCGTCTCAATCCACCCCATCCGCCTATGGCGGCCTTCCACATCTGCGGTGGAAGGTGGCCGAGCTACAGCGATGTTTGTCAGAACATGAGACATCCCGAAAACCGGTCTTCTCATGAAAACGGTTTGGCCTACAAACCAGTATGACCACTCTATGGAAGGATGAGACTCTCACAAACACGATGGTATTCACAGCTTTGCTCTACAACCAACACAAATGTCACGGACTAGTTTTTAAAAAAATGAATGGAAGTATGGAGGTCGTTTTGTGCCTACCAAAAAAAAGGGGTTCAATTCGTGTTAAAAAAACTAATATTTCCTGAGCTTTCTTATATCTCCTAGATATAGGACAGACACTTCTAAGCTTTTTTCCTTATTACTTATTCTTTTTTGCAATTTATGAATGTGTTATTCAATGCGTTTCTTTGGGATTTGGTAATAAAGGTCAAATTCAATATTTTATCAAATACATTTATTTTTATTATTTTTTTATACGTAAAGAGGAACTAAAATTAAAAATCCAATACCTAAATGATCCATGGAATGACCATCTTAAAACAATTCAATATGTCAGCTTATAATTGCCCCCTTGCTTATGTTTGTTTAACCCTCCCGTTGTCCTAGGGTCAAAATGACCCGCCACTGTGTTGAACCAACTTTATTAAATGTTTATATTTTGGGGATCATTTGTGAGAAGGAGGCAGTGAGACTTTAAAGAAAGTATCACTGCCTCCTTCTCACAAATGATCCAAAAAATATAAAAATTAAATAAAGTTGGTTCAACACAGTGGCGGGTCATTTTGACCCTAGACAACGGGAGGGTTAAATAGAACCCTCAATCTGGCTAAATGAATATCGATTGGTTTTCAAAAATCATGTAATCTCATAAATGGGGCTGAACTTACCTGGGAGTATGGCTCGCGCTGCATATGGGCGAATAAAAAAGGAAAGAGGAATGATTTCAATGACTCTTACTGTGTTGTAATGTGCTTAAATAATCATGAAAGCATGCAGACTAAACATGTATACGTAAATGTAACAAATTAGGAAAGAACACACACACACAAACACACACACAAAGCACGACTTCAAATGAACCACAATGACACAATAATCAATGCCGCTATAATATGTAATTAACACAAACTTTCAACCTAAACTGGCATTTTACAGCCAAACAAATTATGTAACACTATTAGAACAGCCTTGGGGTCTAGAGGTCACCTCGGAGGAACCAGACATCTGGGATTCGGTCCTGTAGATGCCGATGGGAATGTCACCGACAGTGGAACACAGTTTCTGATAGAGCCTTCCATACGTCTGGATCCACAGGTCATCCTCTGAGATCTGCATCTAAAAAGGTAAGGAGGAGGTCATTTCTAATTCCATTTCTCTATACAGGAAAAACACATTCCTTGCAGCAGCACCATATTTGATCTAGATTCTAGAAACACTGTGCATTACACTATAACCATGAGAAGTACACCGAATGGAGTCACTTACCTGTCAATATAAGGATTTGGACAGACAAGGGAAGCCTGCACTAGGCAGTTTGCTGAGTATATTCTCGGATCTTAACTGCTGTGCTGTCACACATAGGACTACTGTACTGTACAACGGCTGCATCTTAATAGTCTACAGAGGCCTCCTTGTCTTCCTTCCTTTCATCTGACATAAGGAGAGGAAGCCACATTATACTATTGGGATGAACCAAGAGAATCCTTGCCTTATTGCCTATCATCTGGAATGAGAAGGAAGCCACTTTTGACTATTGTGGTGCACCCCGAACAGAGAGTAACTCACAGAGCAGAGGAAGCCAGAGCCCGGGGTGGTGTCCAGGCCCAGCAGCAGCCTGGTGATGGAGATAATATAGTCTTTGACAAATGACTGGGATGGCAGACCAGGACAAACAGAAGAAAAGGTAAGGAAATTATGTCAAAGAGTGTTTTTGTGCACAGTCATTTAATAAAAAGGGACATTTCTGATCATACAGAAATACAGAAATCAACACAATCCAATTAAACTAGCATTATATCCTATGGACACTGGGATACATATGAACACATTCTATATTCCATTAAGGGTTTTAACAGTAAATATCTGGTGGGTAATTGTTTTTGGAATAAATAACTATAATCGCTCCAGTACATGCCCTTTAGCAAAACCAGTCTGTGCCACAGAGATAACCTTGTTTTAATTAGCCTCTGTAGGCTAATTAAAAGAGATTAGCCTCTGTATACAGTACCATAAAACCTCTAATTAGGTAGCTACATCAACAGTGAGTATACATCCAATAGCATTCCTATGCTCTCTGCTTCAGCACAGTACAGGTGGGTTCTGCCTGGTTACCTGGTAGAGGAGAGTGTCCAGCATGCCAACACTGAAGACCCTCCCGGCAGCAAATGGCAGGCGGAACATGAAAGCCAGGTTGGAGCCTTTCTCCCGCTCTTTCTAATAAGTAATAAGTAATATTAATACATATTTGTAGAGCGCTTTAATACATGCAGGAATCACAAAGCTCTTTCTGCTCCCATAGACATACTGTATACCAGTCAGGGACACCAACACACTAATGTTAGGATCACAGGATGTATAAATCTGAAGCATCCATTTAGAACTTCTTCTCACCACCAAATATGGTGATGAGAGGAAGTCCAGTGGTGGGAAGTGGGAGAAGATGGCGCTAGATGAAACTAGGCCGACATTTTCTCATCGATGAAACATTCGATCTCAATACAGTTTTCTGTTACCAAAACTAGAATATGTTATGAACAGAGTGTACTAAGCTTTGTAGACTTGACCAATTCAAAATGTCGGTGACATTCCCAGAAAGACAATAACCCTAAGCACACATCAAAATAAAAAAAATAATGGTTATTGACCACAAAATCTACATTTTGCAATGACAATCTCAGTCTCCGAACTTGAACCCCTTTGAAAACCTGTGGTTTGAATTGAAGTGGAGTCCATAAGCGCAGATCGAAGGCAATCAAGGATAAGGAAAGATTATGTATGGAGGAATGGTCTAAAATCCCTCCCAATGTGTTTTCCAATCTAATAAAATATTTTTGAAAAAGGCTCAGTGCTGTTATCCTTGCAAGGGGTGGGTGCTGGAGTATTGAAAACAGGGGTGACAATAATTTTGACGCCTATCTTTTTGAGAATGTTTTTTTTTATTACTTGTTAAACAAAATCTCTCTGAGCAATTGTATTAGTATAAAATAATATAATTTCCCAATTTTTTTTTGAATACAATATAGCTCAGTATTTGTATTATTTATTTTATACTGTATTTTTTCTCATCTATATCAAGGGTGCCAATCATTTTGGAGGTGGCTGTATCTTGGGTGAATTACCAGTATCCTTGACAGCATTCCCCAAACCTCTTCTTGAGTAGCCCAGCCACTTATTTGGTATATTGCAGTACAGCATACCTGATTCAACTGGTCACCTAAGCATCAAGTCCTTCAGGTGTAATAACTGGAATAGAAATGAGAATGGCTGGGGGTACTCAAGAAGAGGTAAAGATATTTGAGAGAGAGACAGTTGGTGGTCGATAGTTGTATGAGGGGAACGGCAAACTGCAACAGGAACAATATGGAAGGGATGCATACACAAAACATACTACCCCTGAAAGTTTTACATGCCACGTGTGTCTATGAATGTGAATGATAATTTCTCATAGAAAAGGGCCAACATCTGATGTTGTTTGAGATGGAGGTGGAAATGTTATATGCTTGTACTGTATGTAGGCTACTGTCCAATCTTTGCATAATTATGTATAACCATCTGTTCCTTTGCTTTGAAGACTACTCAACGTCAGTATCCTTTGAGAGACATTGGTGTAGACATTGGTGTAAACGTTGCATTTATAGAGCTACAGACATCTACACACAATAGTTTGAAGAAATCATTAGTAAAAAGACTTGTGGCAATCCAATGCGTGATATAGAGCAGCACATTGAACAGTCGACAACAAGCTTCTAATTTACGCTTGGCAGCATGAATGCGATCTCCGTCAACATCCGGGACATTCTGTGTTCAAAATAACTGGGAACTTGAAACTTGGAAATCTCTGACTTCCGACTTCAGTGCGCTCGAGACAACCAGGAACTCTAAGAAAAAAAAAGAGCTCCGACTGGGAAAAATAGTATTGAACGGTCATCCAACTCGAAATTCCAACTCTGGTCTCTTTCTAGCGCTCCGACTTTCCGACCTGAAGATAAATATGCCATTTAGATCACTGACGTCATGATTTGATCGTCTGAAGGTAACCAAGTACAGCGCTGTAAAAATTGCAAAAAGTGCATAGGGGGTAAAATGTACAAAATAATAATGAGACCAAACATGGGTCTAAAAAAATAGTTTCCCCCCGAGTTTTCATATATCGCTCAGATATAGGACAGACACTTCAAAAACCTTGTTCCTTATGATACATTTTTTTACTGTCTGTTTTGCCATATATTAATGTGTTATTCAATGCGTTTCTATGGACTATAGCAGTAAAGGCCAAATGCAATGTTTCATCAAATATTTATTTTAAAATGGTATACCTACAGGGGTTCTAAAATCAAATGTCTAAATTGTACAATTTATGACCATCTTAAAACAATTCCATATGTTAGCATAGTATATATTGCAATCTAAGGGCTTAGACCTATAGGGGTTTTAAAATGCGCTTTGTCCGCTGTCCAGTGTGTTGCTCTATATCCCGGCCTTGACGTACAGCTCAGTGATGATTTTACCTTCTCCAGTTTAGAGAGAGCCAGAGAGTACCAGTCCTTAGCTCTGAACTGCATAAACCTCATGTTGGCCGGGTGGGTTAGCTCTGTGATGATACTGAGGCTGGGGAACAACCTGGGTGAGAAGTAACACAATATAGGTGGGATTAACTGGACTAAATAAAACAGAAAAACAATGACTGAACAAAGTGTCAACTTCGCAAACAAAGGTGACACCCAAAATACATTTACTTAACTGAATGACTAGATCAAATGAATAACTCTGAATTAAAAGCCTAGCTAATATAAACAGAAATGATAAAACGTGGGCAACACAAGAAAAAACAGCATTGCTATCTACTTACACCATTCCAGTGTTTTCACCATTTAGTGAACAGCTACCTACAGTGCATTTGGAAAGTATTCAGACCCCTTGACCTTTTCCACATTTTGTTACGTTACGGCCTTATTCTAAAATGGATTAAATTGTCTCCCCCCCTCCCCCATCAATCTACACACAATACCCCATAATGACAAAGCAAAAACAGCTTTTTCTGAATTTTAGCAAATGTATTACAAATAAAAAACATCACAATTACATAAGTATTCAGACCCTTTACTCAGTACTTTGTTGAAGCACCTTTGGCAGCAATTACAGCCTCAAGTCTTCTTGGGTATGATGCTACTAGCTTGGCACACCTGTATTTGGGGAGTTTCTCCCATTGTTCTCTGCAGATCCTCTCAAGCTCTGTCAGGTTGGATGGGGAGCGTCGCTGCACAGCTATTTTCAGGTCTCTCCAGAGATGTTCGATCGGGTTCAAGTCCGGGCTCTGGCTGGGCCACTCAAGGACATTCAGAGACTTGTCCCGAAGCCACTTCTGAATTGTCTTGGCTGTGTGCTTAGGGTCGTTGTCCTGTTGGAAAGTGAACCTTGACCCCAGTCTGAGGTCCTGAGCGCTCTGGAGCAGGTTTTCATCAAGGATCTTTCTGTATTTTGCTCCGTTCATCTTTCCCTCGATCCTGACTAGTCTCCCAGTCCCTGCCACTGAAAAACATCCCCACAGCATGATGCTGCCACCACCATGCTTCACCGTAGGGATGGTGCAGGTTTCCTCCAGATGTGATGCTTGGCATTCAGGCCAAAGAGTTCAATCTTGGTTTCATCAGACTAGAGAATCTTCTTTCACATGGTCCGAGAATCCTTTAGGTGCCTTTTGGCAAACTCCAAGAGGGATGTCATGTGCCTTTTACAAAGGAGAGGCCCTTCTCCCCCGATTGCTCAGTTTGGCCGGGCGGCCAGCTCTAGGAAGAGTCTTGGTGGTTCGAAACTTCTTCCATTTAAGAATGATGGAGGCTACTGTGTTCTTGGGGACCTTCAATGCTGCAGAAATGTTTTGGTACCCTTGCCCAGATCTGTGCCTTTACACAATCCTGTCTCTGCGCTCTATGGACAATTCCTTCGACCTCATGGCTTGGTCTTTGCTCTGACATGCACTGCCAACTGTGGGACCTTATATAGACAGGTGTGTGCCTTTCCAAATCATGTCCAATCAATTGAATTTACCACAGGTGGACTCATCTCAAGGATGATCAATGGAAACAGGATGCACCTGAGCTCAATTTCGAGTCACATAGCAAAGGGTCTGAATACTTACGTAAATAATGTATTTTTTGGTTTTGATTAACTGTCTGACAACATGAAACATGAGATGAGAACTACAATAAATCAGAAAACAAATGGATTCGCTGATGCAGTGTAGTAAGGTTGCCAAGGAAACTAGCTCTGCAGTGTGTACCATTTCCTGTCTTTCAACTACATGGTTAAAAAAAATCCTTAATCAAAATTAATCTTCAAACCCACCTCTAAAATGTTAAACTGTGTTTAAAGGTTTATTAAAAGATTAGCCTGTATATGACACTTTTGATATCATAGAAATGCCTGCATAAGACCCCTTGGGCTCCCGAGTGGCGCAGCGTTCTAAGGCACTGCATCTCAGTGCTTGAGGCGTTACTACAGACCCCCTGGTTCGATTCTAGGCTGTATCACAACCGGCCGTGATTGGGAGTCCCATAGGGCGGCGCACAATTGGCCCAGTGTCGTCCGGGTTTGGCCGGTGTAGGCCGTCATTGAAAATAAGAATTTGTTCTTAACTGACTTGCCTAGTTAAATAAAAGGTAAAATAAAAAATTAATAAAATAAAATAACTGAACATGTGGTCCAGTATATTGGACTATAAAATAGTTTGACCAAAGGTTAAAAACATAACAGTATATTGGACTATAAAATAGTTTGACCAAAGGTTAAAAACATAACAGTGAATGGTTCTATTTCAAATACTCGTTTCGATGTCTCACAATAGGGATTCGCTGATAGGCGGATCACTACAGGAAGAACCAATCACACAGCGTCTGTCGGAGACAGACAGGTTGAGTGGCAAATGAGGTGAGGCCCTCCCTCCTTATAAGGCACCACTCGCCCCACCCTCTGGTTATTCTCACTCTCATCACTACGCTTTCTGAAGCTATCCTCAGCACGACTTGATCCCGGTCTGCCTGCTTAATTGTTCTCAGGCCAACCGTGAGGTTAACGCTGCCAAACGTAAGACCTCAGCTCCTGTCAATAGTGTTATGTACTGACCAAAAGGAACGTTTTTGCTTCAAATAGAGTTAGTTTTCTACTTCTCAGTAGCTAGCGTCACATGGCTAGCTATCTAGACCTGGTTAGCCCACGCTGCAAAGCATAAGCTAACTTGTCTAGCTCGCTGGAAAGCAAGCTAACCACACTAGCACAGATGGTAGTATCTCCCTTCTCTCGTTTAGTTTAACTTACGTTCACTCGTTTGTGTCAACTAGACCGACCGGTTTTAGCCTCACGGTTCTAAGGTCGTAGGAGAACACCACGGTTCCCTTCGGCTAGCACTGTGCTAGCTACAGCACACCTTAGCCACGCAAGATAGTTGCTAGCTAACTAACGTCTTACTAGCCTCGTGGTTATAGCGTTAATACTGTGCTCACCCTAGCTAGCCATTAGCCGCAAGGCTTTTAACAAGCTAGCTTACGCCTATTCAAAGCCTCCGGGCTGACAAGTTGTTTTTACAACAGGAGTCTCTGTATTAGCAAGCCCTGTTCTATACAATGGCCACTGCCATCGGAAAATCGGTCTTCTCACAAAATCGTCTGTAGCGACCGAACGACCTACAAACTATTATCTCTATGGATGAGACTCTCACGAACACGTATATTTAGGTTGTTTTAGACAGGGCTTAGACTGTTTAGTGCCACAAATAAGGGGCTAAATACATGTAAAAAAAAAATATATATATATATATATATATATATATATATATATATATATATATATATATATATATATATATATATATATATATATATTCCTGATCTTATATCTTTCAGATATAGGCCAGACACTTCAGAACAAACTTCCTTTAGATTTTTTGGGGGGACTATCTGTTGTTCCATGTAGCCTGAGTGGCGCAGTGGTCTAAGGCACTGCATCGCAGTGCTAGCTGTGCCACTAGAGATCCTGGTTCGAATCCAGGCTCTGTCGTAGCCGGCCGCGACCGGGAGACCCATGGGGCGGCGCACAATTGGCCCAGCGTCGTCCAGGGTAGGGGAGGGAATGGCCGGCAGGGATGTAGCTCAGTTGGTAGAGCATGGCATTTGCAACGCCAGGGTTGTGGGTTCGATTCCCACGGGGGGTATAAAATAATAATGTATGCACTCACTAACTGTAAGTCGCTCTGGATAAGAGCGTCTGCTAAATGACGTAAAATGTAGTGAATCTGTTATTCAATGTGTTTGTATGGGCTAATAGCAGTAAGGACAAAAATAACTTTTCATCAAATAAATGTTTTACTATATTGTTTTGATACTTCAAGGGGTCTTAAAATTCAAAATCAAATAGCAAAATGATCATTGGTATGACCTTCTTAAAACAATTCCATATAGGCCATTCCTCCCCCACTGAGCTAGAGGACTCCTGATACCTCCAGGAGTGATAAGTATAATTTTGGTCTTTATCTGTTTGTCTGTCTAGTACTGTCTTTTTGCTAGCTAGGGCCATCTACTTTAAGTGCTGCCTGTCTCCCCAGCAGCCTACTTGGTGTATGAACTGCTGACTGCTCATAACTTGCAGATTGTTGACACATCAACCAGGATTAAGGGACAATTTGTGAATTGTTTTGGTAATCAGTGGCTGTATTGGAGAGGGAGTTGTTTCACCTCTCCTAGGCAATCAGCAATTAGTACAGGGAGGTGTGCTCTCAACCTCTGCTAGGCAATTAGCAATTAGTGTTAGTACAGTCTCCCCTGGTTTCTCAGCGGTGGCCGCGTCAGTGGCGGTCTCGTCGGCAGAACTAAGACGGTTATGCCGAGTTGTTCTGCGGAGTTGTTCGAGGAAGGAAAGAGAGGAAGGCTCCACACCACTCACTAGTTATTTTCTGATGATCTCATTTGCTCCTTTGTAGCTTTGGCTACTATGTTTGTGTTTTCTCTAGCTGTTCGCTCCTCTCCCTGTAGGCTTTACAGACGCTTCCCACCCCTTGGCTGCAACCCTTCTAATTTAGTGTATCCTGCACGCACAACCCATGTGTGGAATTCCTGGTATCTGGCAGCGTTTGGAACTGCCGATCTGCAGTCAAGAACGCAGAGTTCATCTCAGCCTATGCTGCTCTTCAGTCCCTTTACTTTTTGGCCCTGACGGAGACATGGATCACCCCAGAGAACACTGTTACTCCAGCTGCTCTCTCTTCATCTGACTACGTTTTCTCTCATAGTCCAAGAGCATCTGGTCGTCCCAGTGGTGGTACAGGGCTACTCACTTCTCCTAACTGGAGATGTTTCTATTTTTCCCTCTCTCACCTGTCCATTTCCTCATTTGAATTCAATGCTGTCACTGTCACTTGTCCACTCAAGCTTAACATTGTTGTCATCTATCTCCCACCAGGTGCCCTTGGAGAGTACCTCAATGAGCTTGACACCTTGATAAGCTCATTTCTTGACGATGGCTCACCACTCTTCGTACTTGGCAACTTCAACCTCTCGATGTATGCCTTCGATTCATTTCTTTTCAACTCTCTCTATCCCCTCCTTGCCTCTTTTGACCTCACCCTTTCC